CAGGCCCTCCCTTGGTTGCTCCCTTTCTTGGGACCATTGGTGCTTATCATTTTATTCCTCTTATTTGGACCCTGTCTCTTCAATCTCTTTCAGCTGTTCCTCCAAGAACGGATTCGGGCCGTCTCTCAAGATCAAGTCAAGACTGTTCTTTTGCTTGAAACCCTGATGGCAAGAATAGAAAATCAACACTACAGGCCTTAGAGTTCCTTCTTCCCAGACTGCAAAACCCTGACCCTCATTTATCAGCATGAAGAAGCCCTGAGCATTAACAGCGCCCACATCTCTTTCTCTTTTTATATATATTCCTTACGGTCTGGAATGAAGGAAAGTTGCGTGGCTCAAGGTAGCCTGGAGTTAAAACTCCCTTCCAGGTCCTCCCCACCATTCTAGGCAAAACAAAGAACTCTCTCACCCAGAGAAAAAATAGACATTAGGTTGATTACACCCAGCTCGAAGCCGGCCCAGCCTGTGGCTGATCTCCAGAACTCCTTGCCTCAGCCGTTTAAGAGATAACTACTCCCAGCAACCTTGAAGAAGAACAGGCTGCCTTAAGACAGTAGCTTTCTACATACATGCCTATATATACTTACTCTTTTCTTAGATAAGTGCAGCAGCTCGCTAATCTGACTGCTGCCCCTTCTCGCCTCATTAAAGGTGGTCTGTTACTGTAGATTGCCAGTCTTGTTCTTTTTCTGAACCTCGCCTGCTCTAACTCCATACCTTACAATGGCAATAAGAAAATCACGAACACTTGGAAATTAAACAGCACCCTTCTAAGTAATCTATGGGTCAAAGAAGATTTTTGAAGGGAAAAAAGAAGGAATGAAGATGAAAACATCAAAATCTGTTGTTGTTCAGTCAGTAAGTCACATCCAGCTCTTTGCAACCCCATGGACTACATACAGCACACCAGGCTCCCCTGTCCTCCGCTGTCTCCCAGTTTGCTCAGATTCATGTTCATTGAGTCAGTGATGCTATCTAATTGGCCCAGCCTCTGGCCAATCTCCAGAACTCCTTGCCCCAGCCATTTAAGAGATAACTACTTCCAACAAACTTGGAAAAGAACAGGCCCCCTTAAGACAGTAGCTTTCTACATTCTTGCCTGTATATACTTAGTCTTTTCTTAGATAAGTGCAGCAGCTCGTTAATCTGATTGCTGCCCCTTCTCGCCTCATTAAAGGTGATCTGTTCCTGTAGAGTGCCAGTCTCATTCTTTTTCTGAACCTCGCCTACTCTAACTCCAGACCTCACAGTTGGAACTCCAAGGCACTGAGCCAAGGGGACCAAGAGGGTTCTGCCTGCTGAGAGGTCACCACTTGTGCACTTATTGTTGTTCTTTAGTCACTAAGTCGTGTCCGACTCTTTGTGACCCCACGGACTGCAGCATGCTATGCCTCCCAGTCCCTCAGCCTCTCCCAGAGTTTGCTTAAGTTCGTGTTCATTGAATAGGTGATACCATCCAGCCATCTCATCCTCTGTTGCCCTCTTTTCCTTCTGCCTTCAATCTTCCCCAGGATGAGGGTCTCTTCCAATGAGTTGGCTGTTCACATCAGGAGCAAAGGATTGGAGCTTCAGCTTCAGCATCAGTCTTTCCAATGAATATTCAGGGTTGATTTCCTTTTGGATTGACTAGTTCGATCTCCTTGCTGTCCAAGGGACTCTGAAGAGTCTTCTCTAACACCACAGTTCAAAAGCATCAATTCTTTGGCCATCTGCCTTCTTTATGGTCCAACTCTCCCATCCATACATAACTACTGGAAAGACCATAGCTTTAACTATATGGACTTTTATTGGCAAAATGATGTCTTTGCTTCTTAGTACACTGTCTAAGTTTCTCACGGGCTTTGCTGGTGGCTCAGAAAGTAAAGAATCTGCCCACAATGTGGAAGAACTTGGGTTGGGTAGATCCCCCAGAGAAAGGAATGGCAATCTACTTCAGAATTCTTACCTGGAGAATTCCACGCACAGAGGAGCCTGGTGAGCTAGTCTGTGGAGTCTCAAACAGTTGGACATGGCCGAGAGACTCTCTCTCTCTCTCTCTTTCTCTCTCTCTCTCTCTCTCTCTCTCTCTCTCTCACACACACACACACACACACACACTAGGTTTGTCATAGCTTTCCATCCAAGAATCAATTGTCTTCTAATTTCATGCCTGCAGTCATCATCTGCAGTGATTTTAGACCCAAGAAGAGAAAATCTGTTGCTGCTTCCACCTTTTCCCCTTCTATTTGCTATGAAGTGATGGGACTGGATGTCATGATATTAGTTTTTTTAATATTGAGTTTTTAAGGTGACTTTTTCACTCTCTTCTTTCACCCTCACCAAGAGGCTCTTTAGTTCCTCTTCACTTTCTGCCATTAACGTGGTATCATCTGCATATCTAAATGATATCCCTAATTTTGGTACAAATTATTGCTTTCTTCTTGGTTTAAACGGAAACAGGTTATTTTCTAATTGCCACTTTATGAAAGCTGCCAATTTACATGCCTGTTATTTCTGTTTTTGTACTGATAAGTGAGGAATAAAAGGCATAGCAAGGGAAGTCCATGTGGACTTTTGCCCCACCAAAATAAAGACAAGGTTACTAACTCCTTTCTATCAACTAAATTGCCATAAATTCAAAGGATTAGCAATATTAGAATCATGCACAGAACAAGATATAGATACTGAAGCAGATCAATGTTTTGTGACACTTGAAGTGGTGCTTGAAGTATGAAAACACAAAATTACAAATACAACATCACTCTGGCCTGTACAAATGTGAAGTTCTGAAGTGTCAGCCAAGCTCGTTCAGATTCACAGTAAATCTGCTCCATCTGGTAAAGGATATGAAAAAGAAAGTTGAAGCCAATCACAATATGAAGTTTTTGCTTTTCTGGGCCATAGTGCTGCTTTATAGCTCAGCTAAGTATATAGCTTTGATCCCTCATGGAAAACTTTCCACAGTCTCTGCCCTTTCTGACCTCATATTATGGAGAACTTCAGTTCAAGGTCAATGATGTTTTGTGGAATATATTCACTGGGTGCAAAAGCAATCACATCAGATCCTGCAGGATTATCTTAGTACTGGGGGGGCAGGGGGGAGAGGAGTGGATCCTAAAGCAACTCATCCTCTCAGGTGNCAATCATTAGGAAAAGTTTCAGGAAACCTTTTATCTTTGTCTGTTCAGGCTTCTATAACAGAAATACAACAGAGCGGGTAACTTATCAACAACAAACATTTATTTTTAACAGTTCTGGAGGCTGGAGGCTGAAAGTTTGAGATCTGGGTGCCACCCTGGTAAGATGAAAGCTTTTTCCTGGTTCATAGCCAGCACCTCCCCACTGGGTTCTCACAGGTTGGAAGGTGCTAGGGAGTTCTGTGGGGTCTTTTATTACAAGAACAAAATCCCAGTCATTAGGGCTCATGAACTAATGAACCAATGATTTCCTCATTACTCACCTTCTAATGGGAGAAGGCAAAGGCACCCCACTCCAGTACTCTTGCCTGGAAAATCCCACGGATGGAGGAGCCTGGTAGGCTGTGGTCCATGGGGTTGCTAAGAGTCGGACATGACTGAGCGACTTCACTTTCATTTTTCACTTCCATGCATTGGAGAAGGAAATGGCAACCCACTCCAGTGTTCTTTCCTGGAGAATCCCAGGGATGGGGGAGCCTGATGGGCTGCCGTCTATGGGGTTGCACAGAGTCGGACACGACTGAAGCGACTTAGCAGCAGCAGCAGCCCCACCTTCTAATACCATCACATCAGGCATTTGGGTTCCATTATTTGAATTTTGGGGAGACACAGTCAGACTTTTGCACATTGGGTGAAGAACTTAGGGATGCTTAGGGAGGTTTGAGGCCATTAGGTAATTTGGGGGTTTCTAGGAAGGGATTTGGAGCCACATCCCCAGTATGGAATGTTCATCACAGGCCTGGATGAGGGGAAACTGACAAGAGAAGTGCCCTGAGCAGGATGACAGGAAGGACAGAAAGGCAGCATCTGGGAGAAGAAAAGGGGTTGCCAGTGCCTCTACTTCCTGGCCTCCCAGGCACTCCCCAACACTCTGACCCCCACCAAACATGAAATTTTATGTCATCACAGTGCAGCACCCCCCGACATCCTGGTTGGAGACATGGCTGCTAGGTCTGGGTCTGAAACCACCTTTGTGCTTCTTCAGGCTCTTCAAAGCCTCCCTTGTTCATATGGAGGTCACATGTTCCCAGGACTCCTAAGTGGCAGGTCCTGAACTTTCAGATCCTTGTTTCTAAGAACCAGAATCCCCAAGAGGCCAAGAGCAGAGTCTGCCAGGAGAGCAGAGAGAAGTCCCCCTTGGAGAGTGAGTCTGCTTGCCCTCCTGCTAGAGAGAGAAGAAAAGGCAGTGAATGGTCAGCAGGGCCAGGGGAAGTCAAAGCAAGGGAAGGAGGGGCAGGAGGGTGACTCACTTGGCACAGACTCACATCTCGGCTTCTTCCTCCCTGCAACAGACAGCACAGTGAGGCCTCCATGTAGACAAACCCTCACACCCCAAACTTCCCTTCCTACCAAGCCCTGGCGAAGCCACGTCCCATCTTAATCCAGCTTTCCCTTCTCCCAAATATACTTCTAACTTCCATTTCTCCTCCTTCTTCCAAGAAATCTTCCCCATTTGCCTTTCCAACCCTGCCCCACCCTGGCCCCAGTCACTTGGACCCTGCCTCAACACTGGGGAATAGCATACTTGTGTCCTGTCAGCCCTTCTACACCCAGAGCCTCCTGAGATCTGAAGCTGCACTCCTGCCACTTTCCTCTGCTTAGCATCCTCCTTAACCAGGTATTTTGGTCTATTAGATTGTGTAGCAGAAGAAAATTTTGAGGACATTTAGAGAATCATTTGAGCATATTCCCACATGCAGTAAACACCACAGGGCCTTGTCTGAGTGACTGAACCTAAGACACAAAGAAAATAACTGCAGTTAATTTCTGGCCTTCAACTTCCCCATTAATCACATGGGTTTCTTGAAAGGCCCTGGACATTTAAATCAACCAGGGATCTCCTGCCAGTCTTGCTTCCCTCGTGCATGGCTTACCACCCAGGTAGGCGCAGTTAAAGTGGCTGCAGATGTGATTAGTGCTGGAGAGAGTCACCACGTTGTGGGTTTCATTCTGGAAGAAATCAGTAATCACGAAGACTTCATGTGGGGGGATCAGCACCTCCCGCTCCTCAGGAAAGACAGACAGGTCCTGGATCAGGGCCCCAAAGCAAGTCCTTAGGGAGAAGAAGGTGGTATTACCAAAACTGCGGGCCACAGCCTCATTCAGGGAGCTGGAGGCAAACCGGCCAAAGCGGATAGAGTCCCACAGCCTCTTGGGTTCAAAGCGAACTGTGCGCACGCCTCGGAACACCATCTGCCCAGGTTCCCTGCTGCAGCCCTCACTGCCCCGCAGCAGCTGCAGGGCCCGGGTCAGGTAGAAATGCAGGGCCTTGAAGTGGAACTGGTTCATGTAGGACTCCAAGGAGCCACCGCCAGTCTGCACAGCCTCGTTCAGCTTCTGGTGCAAAGTGTTGGATGAGTTGGTATAGAGCACAATGGCGATTCCATGCTCAGTTTTGAAGCCCGGAGGCAGGCTGAGCCCTGGACTTTTTTCCTCCCAGTACTTCTCAGCTGTCTCCCAGGCATCCCACAGCCAGGTATGGTGGAGCATCTCCTCCCGTAGCAGATGGACTGCCACCTCCTCCATCTCTTCTGAGCAGCCCACATAGGAATCATCAAAGGTGTCTGGAGCCAGATCCAGGTCCTTGGAGGTAATACCCTGGGCCTATGGAGAAAAGAAAGAGATGAGCCACACAGGAAATCATGTAAATTCAGGGTACTGAACAGAGGTCCTGTGGGCAGATCAGTTCAGAAACACAGAATCTCATTTCTATGCTCAAATATCTAGAGTGTGAAATTTGTCAAGAGCTCAAAAACTTAAATAATAGGCACTGAAGTCAGACAGATGTGGTTTCAATCCTGAATTCTCCAGCTACTGACTGTGAGATCTTGGGCAAGTCTCTTAACTTTTCTGGGCTTCAGGTTCTTCCCCTATACACTGAGGATACTTCCTGACTTCACAGGGTTATTGTCAGGACCGTGTATAGATCCTCTTTGTGTGCTAAGAGGGTCATTTATTATTAGAGAGGTTCCTGCACTTGGGACGTGGGGCTGGATGACCTCCAAACACCTTTCTGGCTCTAAGACTCACTGTGCAGATGACATACAAATATACAATCTCCAATGACCTGACCCCATGCCCAGCCTCAGACTCTTTCCCTCTCCCACACAGGTGTGTAGACACCACACCAGGTCCCCGTCAGCTCTGAGACTCAGTCCTCTCCTGCTTTAGAAGCCTGCATCCTCCATCCTGGGGTGGGAGTGGAGAGGAGGTCAAGCCCTGGTCTGGGAGGGGCTGTAGGAGGGTCGTACATGGGTAACCCGAAGGAGAAGTAGGCTGGGCCATGGGTGGGAGATGGGAAGTGACAAGAGAAAGCTGGAGGCTGCCGGAAGGAGGAGGGTATGAAAGAAGGAGCATCACAGGAAGACCAGTAGGTGGAAGTGGGGTTCTGGGAGATGGAATGGGAACTTGGGGCTCCCTGCAGGGGTGGAGGTTCCTGAGAGGAAGAGAATTCAGAAGATGGCATCCTAAAGGAGCATCCCTGGGAGGGATCTTTGAGGAGTCAGGCCCCGGGTTTCCCCCCCTCCACAAATGTTCCCTTTGCTGCAGCAGAAGGTTCTCCCCAGTTACCTGCCCATGGATGCCGAGGGTGTGGAGGCTGAGGCAGCTGAGGGTGATCAGCAGAGCCGCCAGCATTATCCTCAGAGACACTTGGAGAGTGAGATCCAGTTGAGGGTGGGACCAGCGATGGTGAGTGATCCGTTTTGCTGGGATGGTGACAGAGACTTGGAGCCTTTCTTCTCTGGTGGGAGGGTTCCCTGGCCCAGGACTTGGCAGGGCATGGGCAGGTCCAAGGGTGTGTCTAAGTGATGGGTGGTTTGAATTATAACATCCCCTACCTCCATCCCAGCACAACCTTAGTCTCTGTTCCCTGCTTGGTTCCTGGAGTGCTTAGAGCCATCTGCACAGGAATGATAAAGGCAGGAGTGGGGGTTGAGGGTGGGGGGAGGTGATTTGGCTCTACTTAGAGTTAGGAGGGGCCTGGAGTCAGAGACCCAACTGGAGGCAGCCCAGGCCTGTTAGAAGGAAGAGTCAGCTCTAACTCTAGGATGGAACTGTTTCTTTGACTTCCTTAATGTTGCTTCAGTTTTTATAATTATACATGAAACTCTGCCTCAGAGAACCCTGCTGCCAGCCTGACTATTAACTAAAGTACCTCTGTTCGGCTCACAGGAAAATAATCTAACCCCCATGCCAGTGAATGCCTGCAAAAAAAGAAGAGGTTAACATATCCTTTCCACAGGCTAGGCATTTCCTCTGAGATGTTTTGTAAAACTAAGGACCATTTTTACTTTACTTCTGCCCAGCCTCTCCCTCTCTGTTTTGCCTTTTTACTTTATTCCTCACCTCTCTTTCTCTGCCCCCCAGAAAACCCTGGCAATACAGACACCTATAAGATAAGGGTTGAGACATTAGTTGAGACATAAGTCTGAGACGTTAGCTGCCATAAGTTGAGACATTAGTCTGCCATTTTCTTGGTCTGCTGCCTTTCCACATAAAGTCGTATTCTCAGAACTTCCTTTCTCAATTTATTGAGCTGTTGGGTGGCTAGCAGAGCGACCTTGGATTTGGTAACAGGCCAAGAACAGGAAGGAGCACTGAAAGTTCTGGGTGGCAGCCCCTGATGTCTGCTCAGGAGCGGCACTGTCTCCTGTCCCCTGTGTCCCTCAGATCTACAAAGTCCATGGCTAACTATAGCCCCCCACCCAGGCAGGAACCGGACACCTCCCTTCCCTAACAACAGACACCCTGTGGGAGCAGGGCTGAGACCTGTAACTCCCCTTCCCTTGACTACGAGGCCTTTCTCCAGGACCTTCTTTGTCTCCTAGCAAGACCAAGGCTAGAGCAAGAGAACTGTGAAATGTGTTTTTCCCTCAGGCAGTCTGTGACGCCGTGGTCCAGCCTCCACACCAGAAGTCTGAGGGGACAAAGAGAGTTATACCTGCTGAGAGTTCACCTTTAGTGTGCTACTTGATTTGCATACAATTTGCATATGGCCAACTCCTTGGGTCACGTGTACTCCAGCATTTGAGTGGCCTCCACCCTTCTCCTTTCTCTTTAAGCCCCTTCCCTTCAGCAAGTCTTGCCCAGATGCAAAGCTCTCTCTCACATCCTCAGGGGCCAGCCTCACTCCTCCACAGACTCAGACTCTCAGACTCAGGTGACTTATATTTATAAACACTAGCCTTTCTCCTCACCTCCCTGGGCTTGCCTATAAATACCCTAGCTTTGTGTTTTGGATGCCCCTTGGGGGACCAGTGAGGAATCAGTCAGCAGCTTGGGAAAGAGCTTCCTGGCACCCTGAGCTTCTAGGGTGGCAAGGTTCCTCTTTCAGAGTGGCTAAGGACCTGGTGGTCCAGAAACCAGGATTTAAGAGATGTGCCTGTTACCTGCTGTGTCTGAGAAGGGCACAGAAAGTTAAACTCACCCCAGGGACTTGTCCTGGTCTGGCTCATTCATTTAGCCCTATCTTTGTTTCCCCACCCCCTTAGGTTGCCAGACAAATAAAAAATTTCACCTAGAATCCCATTTCCTCCAGAAATTCTTCCTGTAGATCAAAAAGGAAGACAAACTGTCCAGGCATAGGGGAGGGTGGGGAGGGAGGTGAAAAGAGGCATATCCCAGGGTGTCCTTGGTGTCATAGTGGTCAGGATTTCAGGCTCTCACTGCTGTGGCCCAGGTTCAGTCCCTGGTCAGAGAAATGAAATCCCACAAACCATGAAGCATAACCAAAAGAAGAAGAGAGGTAGTCCTAAAACCGGACTGCTTGTCAGGCAAACACAGCAAATCCAGACAAGTTCTTTCATCCCTTTCTAATTTAGACTGGCTTCCCCAAAGCACCCCAAGATTAGAAAATCAGGAGTCACTCTGCTGTTCTCCATTATTGTGAAAAACAGCAACTCATCTACATATCCTGCCTGCCTCTCCCCCTAAAGGGTCCTGACAATTGACAATTGCTGGAACAGAAGATACTATACTGTCTGGATAGCTAGGCCTGCAGGGACAGAACACAGGACCAGATCTGCTAATATCAGGGTTTTCTCCTCTTTCCATCCTCTGGCTTTGGGGAATTGCTTCACTTATCCTGAGACCTGGCACCCCAAGAAAGACCCCAAGAGATGGAGTCAAATCTAGTCATTGAACAGTGGCCGGGAGTGAAGTGGAAAGTCCTCCGAGATCACATGACCAATCAGCACTGGAGCTGGGACTCAGACTCTCTACCCAGAAATCTCTCCTTACTCCTCAAATGAGTCTCCATCACCTGAAAGGATCAATAATGAGATACTCCCTGAGGCTAGGGATGCTGAATGCAGGACTAAACCCAATTAGGAGACAGTTGCTCCAGCCTGGATCTTTGATTTCTCTCTGGGTTCAGGGATTTGCTTTTTTCATGGGAAGAGCTCTGGCCCAGAGCACCCTGGGCAGAGGCTAGTATTCCTGAGCCTAGAGGAGATATCCAGAAATAGATGGGAGAGTGTCACATTTCTGAGCAGCTGTGTGGGAAAGGTACAAGGGGTGGTATAAAACAGAAACCTGCCCTCCCCCTCCCCTGGAGACTGTCACTGGAGACCAACACCAGCTTCCAAGCCCCGGAGAAAGTCTAGGTAAGGGGCATACGACCCTCCTCCTGGGCACTGGGCGCAGAAAGCTGTTTCTGAAATGCAATATTTGGGGTGTTATTGGTAGAGTCATAGCAATTATCAAGAAAGGTTCAAGAAACCTTTTATCTTTGTCTGTTCAGACTGCTATAACAAAAATACTACAGACTGGGTATCTTATCAACAACAAACATTTATATCAAAGAGTTCTGGAGGCTGAAAGTCTGAGATCAAGGTGCTAGCCTGGTCAGATGAGGGCTCTATTCCTGGTCATAGCCAGCACTCCCCCACTGGGCCCTCACAAGTTGAAAAGGCTAGCAAGCTCTGTGGGGTGTCTTTTATAGGAACAGCAATCCCAGTCATGAGGGCTCATGAACTATGAACTAATGATCTCCCAAAGGCCCCACCTTCTAATACCATCACATCAGGCATTAGGGTTCCAGCCTATGAATTTTGGGGAGGTGCAAACATGCAGACCATTGCATATTTGACAAAGAGGTCTGAGATACTAAGGGAGGCTGAGGCCACTGGGAAACTTGGGGACTTCTAGGGAGGGATTTGGAGTCACAGTCCTAGTAGGGCTTCCCAGGTGGTGCTGGTGGTAAAAATCCCTCTGCCAATGCAGGAGACTCAGGGTTGTGGGTAAATCCCTGCGTTGGGAATATCCCCTGGAGTAGGAAATGGCAACCCACTCCAGTATTCTTGCCTGGAAAATTCCATGGACAGAGAAGCCTGACAGGCTATAGTCTATGGGGTTGCAAAGAGTTGGACAGGACTGAGCAAAAACTGAGCACAGGTTTAGGTCACAGCTTTAACGCTTTTGGCCCAAAAACCGTTTTGAAACTTCTAGGGAGTTCACACAAAACAAGGTTAAAGTAAACTAGAAAACACTCCCAGTAGGGAATGTTCATCATGGGCCTGGATGACAGGAAACCGACAAGAGAGGCACCCTGAGCAGGATGAAGGAAGGACAGAAGGGCAGCAGCTGGGAGAGGAAAGGGGGTTGCCAGTGCCTCCACTTCCTGACCTCCCAGGCCCTCCCCAGCACTCTGGCCCCACACCATTCCCCCCAAACTGGTCACTAAACCATCAATCCACCTGCTCTGCAAGGGTCTACATTATTAGCGACGCCCAGAAAGCCTCTCAGACTTACAGCAAACATGCCAGGAGGCCTCATGTGTGCCTGGCTTTGAGCTGAGCCCTGGGGACACAGAGTAGGTCATACCTGGTCCTGCTCTCAAGGAACTCACAGGCCAGGAGGGGAGGCAGACTCAGAAGGCAGCACAGTGTGATTATCACAGCGACAGAGGAAAGCGCAGGGTGATTCAGGAGATCAGAGGAGTGGGAGGGCTTCCTGGAGGAGGTGGCCCCTGAGCTACTTTTTGAAGAGTGGGTAGCAGGAGAAGGGCAGCCCCAGCACTTTGAGGGAAGCAGCAGTGCCTCATCTGGGACTTCGTTCTATGCCATCCATGTGAAGCAAGGGTGGAAGGGCACGCGGCTGAAGAGGTTGGGGAGGGCCAGGTCACAGAGGGCTTCAAATGCCAGCACTCTCCTGAGGGTAAGAGGGAAGTTTTGTTTTGTTATATTGCTTTTTTTTTTTTCCCTATTTTGTAGTGTTCTCATCCCTTCCCTCATAATTTTCATGTCTGTATTTTGAGATATTTCTCCCAGTCAGGTTTGGCACAAAGCGTTCTGAAGTAGGTGAGGAACATGACCAGCTGTGCTTTAGACTCATTGTTCTCCCTGATCCAGGGGAGCCTGGAATTGCGCAGGCAACAGCGGAAGCAGGGAGACCAGGGAGGAGGCAGGAGCTGACTGGAGCCTTGGCGGGGGAGGTGGTGATGGGGAAAGGGAAGGACCATCGAAGATGAACTCATACTGTGCACAGCATAACTTGGTAATCAATTTAGTGTTCGAGGAGTGAATGGAAAGCCAAGTAACCATCTTGGGTGACTTGATGAATAACAAGGATGGTGGATTACATGACACTTTTCTGATGGAAAATTCAGAGGAACTACCTTGAGCTGGATGAAGCCCAAAGAGAAATTCATCACAAGGATCCCAGGGTATTTCTTGGTACCCAAAGGCCAGAAGACTCTCTGTGCTCCTTAGCTCTCCCTTCTTCTTTCCCCAGGGACCTCATCTCTCCCTGACTTCAGTACACCTGTGATTCTCAAATGTCTCTTGTTGTCCATTCTGCACCCTCTCAGACATTGGCCCCTGTAGAGTCCACATAGGACAAACTGAACTGACCCCCAAACCTGATCATTTATTCAGTATATTTTTTAATTGATCATCTACTATGTGTTGAGATGAGCAAGATGAGATTTCAAAGTGTAGTCTGCTTTCCTCTGTATTTCCAACTTAGAGCATGGGAACCTGAGTGTGAGCTTTGATTTCCCCCATCTCATCTCCTAAACCTCATCAGATACCATGTCCAGTAAATTCTACATAGTAAGGCAGGGTCCACTCTCACTGCCAATACCTTAGGCCACATGATTCAGTGTCCCCAGTCTTGCTTCATAATTCTCCTTCCCTATTCCAAGCCTCTGAAATCTTTTATTTCTGTGTTTCTGCAGGACAGAGACAGGGCAATGGAGAGGCAGTGAGAGATACAGCTGGCTTCGAGTTTTCACTACATGATCATTTTGCTGTGGGCCACAAAATCTCAGTGGTATGCAAACATTTATTCTCATGCTCCTGGGTCTTTAGGTTGACTGTAGATCGGCTAAAGTGAGCTTGGATGGGCAGCTCTGCCTCAGGCTGCCAGCCTGCCTCAGCTGGCTGCCTCCTTGTTGTGGGCTGGGCCCACATCTGCTCCTCTGGGACCCAGGCTGGAGGAACAGTTCTAGGCTATGTTCTGATGGTCTCTGACCCAAAAAGAAGGCCTTCTCTCTGGTTTGGGTTCCCTCCAAAGCGGACCTAGAGGCAAGGACTTGGGTGTAGTGAGCTTATTTGTAAGGTGGTCTCAGGAAATACAATAAAGGAGTGGCAAAGTGAGACAGAGAAGAGAGACAAGTGCCCCTGCAAAGTGTGGTCACTGTGGTCAACTATGCCTCTCTGGGGACCCTCTGTGGACTAGGGAATCTGACGGTCTACCCTCATTGGGTGAGAGTTGTTCCTGGGAACATTAAATCTCCTGCACTTTGGGGCTGCCCTGAGCAAGCCCCCAAGGTGATGCAGAAAGGCTTGGACACCGGAATATATGGAGCACTAGGAGTGGGAAGCTGTCAGATGCTTGAGAATTATTCATTGCTCCTGTGTTTCAACCTGAAGATGAGCTGAGGTGATACTGTGAATCAGCAGTGGCAGGCATACTCTTATACTGCATCTATCTATTATTAATAATACCAAACCCTGGGAAGGACTCTGAGTGTCTCACTTAGGTTATGTGTCCAAATGTGAACCAATCACAACAACCAGGGCATTAGAGCACCAGTTTGGGGTCATGTGTTCTCCTCCTAAGGGTACAGAGTTAGGAAAGCCCCCAATGAACCCATGGACTGAATTTTCCACAAAAAGAGGATCTATTATAGAAGTTCAGGTTTCTTTCGTGGATTCCATAAAACCACAAGAGTTCAAATAGCTTTTTTGCTGCTATATACTCTGCCCATTCGCATTCTATCTTGGAACTAGGGAGCAGTATTTCATGCTTTAGTCCCCATTGTGATGCCATTTTCAATTCTATCTACTCCGTATCTCCTCTAGACAGCTCATCATTTAAACCCACTCCTGGTGCAAATGTGTCTTCATCAGGCTCTTTGGCTTCTTGTAACATACGTCACATGCTACTTGAAATTCCTCACTCCAGCTCCACCTTCACCTTAAAAGAGTTTAAAGAAGCAGGGATATGGGTTTTGTTTTTGTTTTGTGATCACAGTTTTATCCTCAGCTTCTGGCACATTACAGGATGCTCAAGAATTTTCTGTTGAGAGGCTTCCTTGGTGGCTCAGTGGTAAAGGGTCCACCTACCAATGCAGAAGACAGGGGTTTGATCCCTGATCTGGGAAGATCCTGGATCCCTGATCATGTTGTGCACAAGGCAACTAAGTCCGTGCACCACAACTACCGAACCTGTGCTCTGGAGGCTGGGCACAGCAACTATTGAAGCTCTAGTGCCCCAGAGCCAGTGCCCCACAACAAAAAAAGACACTGCAATGAGAAGTCTGAATACCATAACTAGAGAGTAACCCCTGCTCACTGCGAGGAGAGAAAAGCCCGTGTAGCAAAGAAGACCCAGCACAGCCAAATATTAATTAATTAATTAATTTTTTTTAAAGAATTCTGTTGAATGAATGAGTAAGCAAGTTTTGAGGGAGGGAAGATAAGGAGTTCAGTTTGGAATGTGTTAAATTTGATAAAAACCTGCTGTTAACTCTATTGCCCAGAGACCTCACACCTCAATTGAAACTGTGAATTGGCAGTGATAAGATCTTAGATTGGGAAAAATGAAATTATAGCCACAGAACATTCCTGTGTCCTAGGGTCATTGATCTATCAAAACTTAGGCCCACCAAGAGCCAGAGGGGAGCAGGGATGCTTAACCTAAGCAAGACTAGGGCGGGTGCACATCCACCCTGAGAGTTGTGTAAGGTCTGTGTGAAGGCACACAGATCCATCTTCTCAGAACTTTCAGTTTTCATCAGATTTCCAAAGATAAAAACCACTAACTATATTACGGTTTGGATAAAAGAGGGAAAACAGAAATACCTAAGAATCTGCTTGTATGCGCCTAGAGTATCTCTGCCAGGATGACATGAAATGGCAACACTGGTACCTCTGGGGAGAGGGGATGGGGTTGAGGAATCAAAGAGAAGGACATTTCACTTGTGGACTATAAATTATGAAAAATGAAAATGTACTACCTTTTTGAAACTTAAAACTTTATAACATTAAAAAAAAGCTATGGGGGTTCCCTGGTAGTCCAATGCTTAGGACTCTGCAGTTTCACTGCTGAGGGCCCGGGTGCCATCCCAAGTTGGGGAATTTACCTCTCGGCTCACTAGCAGGATGAATCATAACATTATTTTTTTTTTTGGCCACACCTCACAGCTTGTGTGTGTGTATCTAAACACACACACACAAGCCATGAGGTGCTCAGTTCAGTCGCTCAGTCGTGTCCGCCTCTTTGCGACCCCAAGGACTGCAGCATGCCAGGCTATACCTAAGGTGTGCTCCTCTCCCCCAAAATAACATTATGATTCATCCTGTTAGTGAGCCAAGAGGTAAATTAGAAACTAGATACCATTTGCACCCACCAGTTAAATGGAAATTTAGAGATTCATAATGGTCAGTGTTGGCAAAGACTTGGAGAAAAGGGCACTTTTGTCTGCTGTTGGTGGCAGGTGAAGAGGGACCTTTTGGATGGCAACTTGGCAGTGGCTATCTAAAGGAACACTATTCAAATACTTTAAATATCACCTTGATATCATTCCTTTAAAAATATGCAGACAAGTAGATAAGGATTTATATACACAACTGATCACTGCAATATCACGTGTAATATCAAAGACTGAGGAAAAAACACTAAGTGCCCGTCAATAAGAAAATGGTTAAATAAATTATGGACTAACTCTACTATGAACTTCCATGCTGCCATTATAACGAACAAGGTAGATATGCATGTTTGACATGGAAAGAAGTTCATGGTATATTGTTTCCTTTGAAAAGGTTGTAGAACATGTATGTGTAAGCATATTTCCTTTTTCTTTTTGAAAAAAGTGACAATAAGAAAACCAAAAATAGGCTGCACACAGAAAACTATGTGTATATATATACTTAAACATTATATTATTTGTATGCACATCAAAAAAGTTCTTGAAGGGTCCCATTACCAGGAAAACAGCAGGCCTGGGTAATAGTGAGAAGGGGACATGGAGGGAGAGGAGGAAATGGGGGCCTTGGGCATTGTGATTCATTCATATACAATGAGTATGCATTACTTGGTAATAAACAGAAATAAAGAAGCACCACCAACTTGGAAACTGTTCCAATCTTGACCCATAGCTGGGACGCTTTCCTGGAGCCCTGCTCTGAGCCTGTCCCTGGGGTCCTGCTGTGGCCTCACCAGCTAACCACTCCTGGATCTGCCCTGTTCCAGCCTCAGGTCCCCATGAAGGGGAGCCCAGACCTCTCACTGTGGAAGTCAAGCTTCTTCAGGACTGACCCCAAGCTTTCCAACATTCCCAGCCTGCACCTGCCACACTAGAAAAAGTATCTTTCACTCTTTACATCCTGAGAGTTCCTACCTCCAGTACCTTTCCTGTTCCCATTCCTGCTGCCCCTAACATCTTTCCCTCTCCAGACTCCAGTCTTTTCTCTCCCACCTCCATTGACTGAAGTCTTATTCTCCTCTTTATTCCGTAAGACCTTAGTCACATGTTGCCTCCTCCAGGAAGTTTCCTATGTTCCTTCCAGCAAGAAGGGTCCTCTCTCTCTTCTGAGCCTCCATTTCTATACTGTGACCCTGTGCCAAGCAGTGTAAGTGACCCAGACCAGGTATCAATTCATGTTTTTTTTTGTTTGTTTGTCTATGTATTTAGGCTACGCTGGTCTTACTCATGGCACACAGGGTCCTCCACCTTCACTGTGGCACGTGGAATCTTTTTAGTTGCAGCATACATACTCTCAGTTGCAGAGGTGGGATCTATTTCCCTGACCAGGGATCAAACCTGGATCCCCTACATGGGGAGAGTGGAGTCTTAGCCACTGGACCACCAGGAAGTCCCAATTAGTGTTTATGGAACTGTGCAGATTCTCTTTTTCCAGGTGAGGAAACTGAGGCCCAGACAGTGACTTGACCAGGGTCATCTCCAGCATGCAGGGCCCTGCCGTGATGTCTGTGTTGCTTGTGTCCGTGGGCCTCATGGAAGCACTCCAGGTACAGTCATCCTCTGCTGTCCCCATGCCCCAGCTGCTGGCTTCTGAACTCTGCCGGATGCTTCCTTTGGGGATGGCTGAGTCTGAGGGGACAGCCCTGGAGCCCAGTCTCAAGGCCTCCACTGCTGGTAGTTCCCCATCCCCTTCCCCTCCAGGGCTTCCCTTGTGGCTCAGCTGGTAAACAATCTGTCTACAATGGGGGAGACCTGGGTTCGAAAGATCGCTTCGAGAAGGGAAAGGCTACCTGCTCCAGTATTCTGGCCTGAAGAAGCCCATGGACTGTATACTCCATGGGGTTGCAAAGAGCTGGACACGACTGAGCGACTTTCACTTCACTTCCCCTCCAAGTGTGTTAGGGGCCCTGCATCTCTCTCAGCTCAGTGGAGGCGGGGGGAGCTGGATAACAGGGCTCCTGTTCTCCTGGGGCCTAAACTCTCAATCCTTGCTGCTCTCCCTCTCGCAGGCCCAGAGCCACCCCGTCATACGACGAGACCTCCTCTCTCGAGAAATGCCCCTAGACATGGCCCTGGCCTCCTTTGATGACCAGTATGCTGGCTGTGCCGCAGCCATGGCGGCTGCTCTCCCGGATCTCAACCGCACAGAGTTCCAGGCCAACAAAGTGTACGCCGATGGCTGGGCACAGGCAAGCAGCCAGTGGCGGGAGCGCCAGGGCTGGGGGCCCGAGTGGGGTGTCAGCCCTACCCGTCAGCTCGCCCCCCTGGGCTTCCGAGAAGAGCACGGGGTGGCCCTCCTGGCTTACACGGCCAACAGCCCCTTGCACAAAGAATTCAATGCAGCCGTGCGTGAGGCAGGTCGCTCCCGGGCCCACTACCTCCAGCACTTCTCCTTCAAGACACTCCACTTCCTGCTGACCGAAGCCCTGCAGCTGCTGCGCAGCAGCCAGCGTCCACCCCAGTGCCACCAGGTGTTCCGAGGTGTGCAGGGCCTGCGCTTCCGGCCGGCGGGGCCTGGGGCCACCGTCAGGCTGGGGGGCTTTGCCTCCGCGTCCCTGCAGAATGCTGCGGCCCAGCACTTTGGGGAAGACACTTTCTTTGGCATCTGGACCTGCCTTGGGGCCCCCATCAAGGGCTACTCCTTCTTTCCTGGGGAGGAGGAGGTGCTGATCCCTCCCTTCGAGACCTTCCAGGTGATCAACGCCAGCAGGCCGGCCCAGGGCCCCTCTCGTATCTACCTCCGGGCCCTGGGCAAGCGCAGCACATACAACTGCGAGTACATCAAAGGTGAGCAGGGCATGTGTCAGCCAGCAGCTGTGCACAAGTGGGCTTCCCCGTCCCATTTTCAGGGGACACATACACAGATATTAAAATCAGTGAGGAGGACCTCATCCTGTCCCCAGCCGCTCCACCCTTTCCATCCAAGGGGAGGCATAACGTTCCTTACCCTGGAGGTGTCTAAGCCAGAGCTGGCCACTTGCCTGCTGGGAGACTGAAGGGTTTCTGACCAGCACACGTGTTTTTGGCCATTTGAATGCCAAACAGACTTGATCAGGCTTCTCTCCTAGCTGGAAACTGTTGCCAGAAATTAGTGTGGGCCCCCATCCCTGTTTTCTGAGAGGAGTGTGTTTTTTTGACTGATCAGAAACCCTGGGCTGTGCGTGTACTGGGTCAAGGTGACGGTGAGGTGGTGAGACAGCATGTGGGTGCCATCCCCCTAAGTTCTAGCTCGGGCTCTGGCAGGTCTCGGGTGCTTTCCTCTCCACCATCCCAGGACCAGGCAGAGGAGTAATCATGAGGGTGAGTCCAGGTCCTTAGTCTCTGAAGGGGCTGTGGGCTGCTGGTCCTGGCTGAAGGATGCCCAGGGGATTGTGAGGCTGTTTTCCTAGTAAGAGGCAGGCTGTTGGCTGGATCCATGGACCACATCTCAAGTGGGAGTAGGTCCAGTGTGGCTTCAGATCCCACCGTGAACAGGATCACAAGCACGCATGAGTTGATGGAAGGTGACAAAGACAGGCAAAGAACATAAATGAGCCCCTCCTTGGCTGGGAGAAGGAGCGGTGGGTGCGGCATGGAGGCAAAGTTACAGGCCACGGGAGGAGAAGGAGAGCCCAGAACACCCTGGCTTTGAGGGCTGGGGCCTTCCTGGACCCGCTGCTCATGGGTCTAGTCAAACCCAAGCGAGGGTGGTCCCACCCTAAGGAAGCAGAATCAGGGGAAAAGGCACCAGCTTCTCCTAAAGCAAGTCAGGGAGGGGCTCTGGGGTCCCTTTCTGTCCTGAGAGCTATTGAGCCTTTGATTCTCTGCTGTTTCTTTCCTGCAGACAAGCAGTGCAAGTCTGAGCGCTGCCGTCTGGTTAATTCAGGTAAGGGCTGCAGGCATTGGCGGGGCTCTTTTCAGAGATGAGCTGACTGCACTGGGTCTGGGCCCCCCTCCTGGGTGAACATCCCCCTTAAATGAAAAACAACCCTCTTTTGATTTAAAAAAAAAAGTAGACTTTCTTAAGCAGACACCTGTAGGGATTGCTAACGTTTCCCACAGGGTGTATACGTGGGATACGTGGGGTGTATACATGGCGAGCTAACATACCTGCTCCCCTCCACCCAGGCCTGGGCCTGGCCCTCCTTCACAGGAGGTCACGGATCAGACCCCAGAAAGCTCCAGGCTGCATTGAGGTGACAGTGTAAAGGGCCACTCCACAAAGTCCTCCCCAGGCCTTCTCCTCCTTCCGCTGGGAGCCCTCTGTCTGTAACTGTGCTCAGAACTCCCTCAGACCACCTCCCAAGGTCAAGGTCAGGTCATGGGTGCTGGAGACCTGGGCTGTAACCCAGGCTCTGCCCTAACTCTGTGACCAATCTTTCCTCTCTGAACCTCAGTTTCCCTATCTGTATCATAAGCACATTGGGCTAGATGGTCCCCAGGTTCTCTGTGGCCATGATTCTTCTCTTCTCTTGAACACTTGCTGGCCCAGGGCTTGCCTGAGGCATCACTTCTCCACCTGGGAACAGGCCATTCTCAGGGAAGAAGTCACAGCTCCTCCTCACCCTGGGGTCCTGCCTCCTCCCTCAAGGCTTTTAGAACAGTGGGCAGGAAGGAGCTTCAGCCTCCACTTTGCTCTCACCCTTCTCCATGACACAAGACCACTCAGGGTTCCGGGCACATGAGTCCTCACCGTGATCCGATGGTACAGATACTCTCATCACCCCTGTTCCACAGATGAGAGAAAGAGGCACAGAGAGGTGAAGCAACTGGCCCCACATATAGACCTAGCAAGGGATGGGGCCCAGATAACCTGGCCCTGGAGCCCAAATCTGAACCACCACACCAGGCTGGCTTCACGTTATTCTTACTGCACAATCATCAACTGGAAGGAGGTGGGACAGGAAATACTGCCCTCATTACATAACAAAGTGAGGCCCAGAGACTGAAGTGACTTGCTCCAGATGACAGAGTCATCTGTGGCAGAATCGAGATCAGCCAAGTCTCCAGCTTCCAACCTGGCTTGAGTTCTGATAATGTCATTTCAGGCACTGGGAAAGTTTAGGATTCCCACTCCCCACCCCTCACCCCCCTCCACCAGTGCCTCTCCCACCAGAGTCTGGGCAGAGGAGCAAAGATCAGCATTACCAGATCCCACTCAGATCTCTGATCCACTTCATCCCACCCTGCAGTGCCTCAGTTGTGTCAACAGGAGGCTAGGGCATAGACTTAATGACCTCTGGAAAGGGAACTGGGACTCTCCTTGTCTCTTCATCTCTGTCTACCTTTCTCCCTAAATTCTTCCTCACTTTGTCCCTGAATCTCTCTGCTTCTGTTTTTCCTGCAGCCGTGGGTCAGAGGCCCATTCCTGCAGTCTGGTCCCTTCTACTGCTGCTCTGGTTCCTTGTTGGGGAGGTCTTTCTAGAGAGTCCGGGCCTCCTCTAATCCATCAGCCACTGAACAGCCCTGCCTGTCACCTCTGCCCAACATGAGGATGTCAGTCACATGCGTGCTCTGAGTGTGGCCAAGATCTCGGGTAACTCCATCTATAGGAAACTCTGGGGCCTTCTCTGGTGACTGCTGGGCCTGCTAGCAGGAAGAAAATGTGGGGACTGAGCCTCTCCCAGAGTTCTTGGAGTCAGATGCTGAAGAGAGGTGGGCGGACTGCAGGACAGGTAATCACTCACCTGGAGATAGATTATAGTAGTTCGGAGGTGGGTGACTGGGGAGAAAAGTACTTGGCCATGTATTCACTGATGTTACTCAAATGCCTCCCATGTGCAGCTGGATAGCTGCTCTTTGCTCTTCCAGGAAGCCTTCTCTGACCTCTCCTCCTTGCTATGTTAGGGGCCCTGCCTCTGGTCTGCCATCTCCAGCTATGAGCTTCTGAGCGTGAGGACCGTGTCCGAGGTACACAGGTGGTACCAGAAAACACATGGAAGTCAGAAAGAAACAAACATCTTCTGACTGGCTGGTCCCTGTCCTGCCCTTATTTGGGCACCTTAAAGCTCTCCGGATGTCACTGTGTGATGCCCACACAGCGAGAACATGGATGGACTGGACCTAAATCCAGAGAGGAGAGAGCAGGAAAACAGCAGAGATAGCTTTAGGGATCTCAATGAAACGCCAATCATTTTCTTGTCAGCAAAGATGTAATTTCCACTCTGATTCATGGGTCCTCTAGAGGTCCCTAAGAGGCTGGATTCCTAACTTCTACCACCAAGAGCCTAAGGGTAAGGCAGGACATGGAGGAAGTGCAAGGCACACATTACTTTATTATGAGTTGGAGATTTGGGCCAAGTCCTTATGTGGCCTCCTGCTGTGGAAAGCGGACCAGGAGCCCTGAATCCCCAGTCACCTTCTCTGAGCCCCTAGAGAGGGTCAGGTTAGACAAAGTCTCTGTAACAGTAGCCACAGGGGAAGGAAGAGAAGACAGGAAATGGGGCAGTGCTGTCATGCCTGCATGCTCCCCACTGAAAGTGCCTACACTCAGCACCAAAGTTCAGTTCTGTCCCTCCCAAATTGCACTTCGATCTTGACCCTTTTTAGAGTTCCTCCTCTGCAGAAATCAGGGGAACAGCAAGCTCTGGTTTTCCTTAGAGGTTAGAGTACGCAGGAGACGATGAATACTCCTGGTCTGTGAAGTCAGTAGTGCTGAAGAGAGGACGTCCCAGGTTCTGAGGCCCAGTGGAGAGACACCGGGTGGCCTGAGGGCTGACCACCACCTGGCGTGGCTGATCCATCCCCATCTGGACGTGCTGTGGCTGCAGCAGACCCTTGGGACTCAGAGAGCCTGCACCAGCACCAGAAGGCTCATGACCAGAGCCATGGAGAAGAAGATGCCCAGGAAGAAACGGTCCATGACACGGGCCAGGCGCTTCCAGTCCTCATGGCGGCGCTGGGCAGCCCGGTGGCTGTGGAAGGCATTGGCGATGGTGGCCACGTGATGCAGCAGGGCTTCCTGACGGCACAGACACCGAGGCTCCTGGCAGGGACCTGCTGGGGGTCCAGTGCCTCTGTCAGGAGGCTGGGGACTGGGGGATGACTCAGCTGGTCTAGATTGCCCACAGGGCTCCCCTCGTTCCCGCACACACAGGCCCTGTGCCAGGCGTCCTAGCAGGAGGGCCCGAGCCCAGGCTGGCACGGGGCGGGCACTGGGACCACAGTAATGCAGGTTCATGATAAGGATGGTAAGCGCCGTGGAGAAGGTGACCATGGTCATGGTGGCCATGTAGTACTTTCCTGCAAAAGACAGAAACATAAGTGAGGCCCAAAATGAGAGCTCAGGGGCCTGGAGCTCCCCAGCTGCCTGAACACAAGGAGGGACAAGCTCATCCCCCCTCAGGCTCTCAGGACCCTTGAAGCAAAATGGAAGGAAGTGGGAAGGAGGTAAGGGCCAAGAGCTCTCCTCCCACATCCCCACATCTGGTTCTCAGAAGCTTCCTGCTCCCTGGTTGATGCCTTCACTGCTAAAGCCTGGACTCACCCACAGTGCCCTGAAAGTCACACTCTTAAATAGAACCACCATGACCTGGGCAAGTTACAACAGAACCTTCCTGGGGGATTCCCAGGTGGGGCTAGTGGTAAAGAATCCCCTGCCAATGCTGGAGACATAAGAGACTCCGCTTCCATCTTGGGTCGGGAAGATTTCCAGGAGGACAGCATGGCAACCCACCCCAGTATTCTTGCCTGGAGAATCCCATGGAGAGAGGAGTCTGGCAGGCTACAGTCACACAGAGTCAGACACGACTGAGGCGACTTAGCACACACGCACACAGGTCTGTGGTGCTGCTCCCCTGGGTTAATAAATGTCAAGTGTTCAAGAGAATGCCTGGCATGCAGTGAGTACTTAAGACATTTTGCCTATTATTCTAATACTGGGGAATGTCGATCATCCTCCAACAAGTCCTTGAGTAAAGACCAACTCCTGGACTTCCCAGGTGGCACAAGTGGATAAGAATCCACCCGCCAATGCAGAGGACATGGGTTCCATCCCTGGTCCAAGAAGATTCCACATACTGCCAAGCAACTAAGCCCCTGCGCCACAACTACTGAAATCTGCGTGCTCTAGGGCCCACAACAAAGAGTGGCCCCTACTCTTCGCAATTTGAGAAAGCCCTCATGCACCAGTGAAGACCCAGCACAGCCATAAATAAATAAAATTAAAAAACCAAAAAAGACCAACTCCCTCCTCTGCCCCTACAAGTGAAGGGAGGGCTATTTTCCCTGGAAGGGGCCTATCTCTTCCCCCTCCATCTCAACAAGGCCGGGCCCCAAAATGCTCTGCAGGGCCTCTCGGTTGACCTAGGCCGGTTGGGCTGCGGCCCCCCCACCTGCGGAGACCCGCGTGCGCCAGCCCCCGGGGTTGGGGGCAACCTCCCTCCCAGCCCCTCCCTGGCCACCCTGAGGCCCTCGGAACTCACCGATGAGCGGCACGCTCTCGGCCGGCGGCATGCTCTCTGCCAGGATCAGCTGGAAGACGGTGAGCGCCAGCAGCACGGTGACGCCCAGCGACACCTTCTCGCCTGAGTCCGCAGGCAGGTGGAAGGCGAGCGGCGCCAGCAGCGAGATGAGCACGCAGGGCAGCAGCAGGTTGCACACGTAGGCGGCGGCGCGGCGGCGCAGCAGCAGCGTGAAGGTCACGTCCGGGTAGGGCTCGGAGCAGCAGCCGTAGGTGAGCACGCGCCGCCGGGCAGGCATGCCCAGCACGCGCCACTCCACGTTCTCCACGAAGTCGGCCAGGCTGGCGGTGGTGCCGCGCGGCCGAACGTCCAGCTGGTGCCCGCCGTGTGTCCACGAGCCGAAGGTCAGGCCGCAGCGCTGCGCGTCGAACGGGAAGGCCGACACGTCCACGCGGCAGGAGCTGCGCGTGATGGCCGGCGCGTCCCAGCGCACGGCGCCATCGTGCCGCAGGACCACGTTGGTGCTGGCCGAGGCCGGGGCCTGCGCATCCGCCCTGCGGGCAGGGGTTGGGGGTGGGGGCTCCCTGAGGCGCTGTGGCGTTGGATGTCGGGGCTAACCCTTGGAGAGGGTGCGACTCCAACCCTCTGGGGGACTCACAGAGGGCCCTCTGTGTCTTTGGAGGCCTAATGGGGCCAGGGCCTGCAGGGCCAAGAACGAGAGAGGTCTAGCCCTAAAGGGGATGCGGAGTGCACGGTAGCTTTTCTTGGGGGCCATCTGCAAAGCGCCTGGAGGGGCCCTGGGGAAAATGTAGGGACTGAGACTCAAAAGGGTGAAATGTGACATAAAGAGGCACGTATGCCCCAGAACCCTGGCTGCGAGGGATATATAACTAGTCCTGGACCACACAGAGGGTTCCTGGGAGACATTCAGCCTGGGTTGACTTGGGAGTGCTATCGAGGGGCTGTGAGGTTCCTCCAGTAGGTCCTAGCCATGAGCTGTGGTGTCAGGAAGCCCTACTGCACCACACAGCCACCATTGCTGACACCTTCCTGGCAGTTTAGAAGGCTCCCAGGGCAAAGCTTACTGGGCACCCTAGAGTCAGGTTTGGTGTGGGGGATGGGGAAATAAATGCATCCCCAGAGCCAAGGGCATCTCTCCAGAGGGGTGGAGGGGAGGGGCCTGGGCAGGCAGTACTTGTTATACAGTACGATGTCCGGCCGCCACACAAGACTGCTGGGGATGCGGATGGCATCCAGACCACCATAGGTGTCGGGGTCCCATCGTAGGTAGGCGTCTGTCCACTCCTGTCGGATCCACAGGTACAGGGTCAGCACCTGATTCCGCTCATCCTAGTTAGGGGCAGAGAGTGGGTATAGATGTGGACACACGTCTGTGCACATCCTGCCCTGTGTGTGTGCACTCAACTGCAGAACTGTGGTCAGCACCCCCAGACCTGACTTGCCCACACAGTCCAGTCCCCACACAGTCTTGCTATGTGACCTTGGCAGGACCTTCTCCTCTGGGCCTGAGTTTCCTCGGCAATTACATGGGTGGTAATCTCTGCTAGTCAGGAACTTGAGTGTGAAAGTACTGGGCACATTGTGGCTACCCAGTGGTTAATAGCCAACATTTGGTAGCTGTTATATTAATGTTTCCAGGAAAGAATTGTTCGGAGAGTAATCCTAGTCCCCCATCCCCCCATTCCTTTTTTTTTTTTAACCTTGCCACGCAGCATGCAGGATCTTAGTTTTCTGACCAGGGACAGAATCCACGCTCTGCTGCAGTGGAAGCTTGGAGTTTTAACCACTGAACCACTAGGGAGGTTCCTCGTCCCCCATCCCTTTCCCATTCCTTCCTCCTCCAACCGTTCCAGCACACTCCATGGTTGTACAGCAACGCACCATGTCGATGATCTGGGACAGTGTCACCTCCAGGGTGACATTCAGGGCCTGGTCTGTGTCTGCCACAGGTCTCAGGGCACTTGTGTAGTTGGCAAAGAGGTCTCGGAACAGCTTGTGTGCCAGCCTGCCCTCGGCTCCCAAGCACTCTGGAAGACCAGTAAGAAGCGGTGTCCATGGAGGCCCCAGAGCAGGGGCCTTGGCTCACACTCTCTACTCTCCACAAGACTGACGCCCTGTCAGTGCCTTCACTGTCGCACAGCTGCTTGACTGTCTAGGTTCTCTGTCTCTAGTTCTTCCCTGCCTGTCTCCGGGGACAGATGCAGCGAGGCTGTGGTGTGAACAGTCACTGTCTTCTGAAGCAAGGCTGATGGGTTTCTTTTCCACCTGCCTCTTCCTAAGGACCTGGATTCTGTCTGCCCCGCCACAGATGCTGGAGGGGCCCCACTAGACCACAAGAGTCCCAGGCGCCCCATTGCATGGGGGATGTTAGTTCCCCAACCAGGGATCAAACCTATGGCCCCTGCATTGGAAGTGCTGTCTTAACCCCTGGACCACCAGGGAAGCTCCTGAGAGATCAAGCTTTTAAAGAGACAAATTCGACTAGATCAGTAGCTGCTTGAAAGAAAGCGAAAGTGTTATTTGCTCAGTCGTGTCCAACTCCTTGAAACCCTGTGAACTGTAGCCCGCCAGGCTCCTCTGTCCATGGGATTCTCCAGGCAAGAATACTGGAGTGGGTTGTCATTCCCTTCTCCAGGGCACCTATCTTTCTGACGCAGGGATGGAACCTGGGTCTCCTGCATTGCAGGCAGATTGTTTACTGTCTGAGCCATGGCTCCCCGGGCCTGCTAGATAAAGCCCCAACTCACCCTTCACGATCTGGTCCCCCTGGCTTTTCCCACCCTATCCCTGAGGGCTCCCCCCTCAACTGCTTCCACCCCAGGTAGGCAAGCCCCATCTTGCCCTCTTCAGCTCCCACTCTTCCAAACTCGCCAAATAGAGCTTTTTCCCAGCACAGGAATGAAGAGAGAGCATGTGGAAAGAGATTTGGGGAGGATGGGAAGAACAGCAATGCCCGGAGAAGCCAGGGCAGGTCTACTGAGCTTCATACCTGGAAGGAGTGGGAGCAGGAACAGAAGGCCCAGGCTGGAGACAGAGGGGCCGAGGCTGAGGTGGTGGCTCCCGGGGCCCATGGCCTTGCCACAGCCAGAGGAGGGGCAGATCTCTGGGAGTGAGCCTCCTGGCCTGACCTGTGGCAGCGCCAGGCCCTGCTGGCAAGGGTGGTGTGGACAATCCCTGGAAGTCAGAAGGAAGACCGGGGTCTCTGTTGGGTCCCGTTAACCTCCAGGGAGCCCTGCAGCCCTTCCAGCTACCGCACCCTCCTATTTGTACCTGCCCTGGAATTAAGTACTTAGGGCTTGGCATCTACTGTTTCTCCTTCTCTGCTGGTCTTTGCCTCTCCTGGCCTCTGCCCTGTTCTCTGCCCCTAACCCGTCTCTCTCTTTCCTGCTCTCCGTCCCTCTATAACTCCTTCTTGGTCTCTGCCTCCCTCCCTGACCCTGGTCTTCCTCTTTCCACTCTCTTCTTTTCTCCTACCTCTGTTTCAGCCCCCTGGACTTCCTTAAGGCCTTCCCCTCACCTGACTCTGGGTGAGCCTGGTGTATTCTCAGCAGTTCGGGGGGCCAGGACTCTGTCCCTCTGAGGCACAGGACAGCAGGCCCGGCCCTCTTTTCCTTTTATTAGCTTAATTACAGAGTTAGGACACCTGTGTCCATGGGAACAGAGCAACTGAAACTGACACCTCAGGTCACTGGGTCCTGAATTATTCAAATTCTGTAAGGTAGCACTCAGGCTTAGCTCAGGCCCAACTTGAGGGGGTTGGAGATTCCAGGGTCAGAATCTGCAGGAGACTGGGGCTTAGAGGTGTTAGGGGACAGGGCCTGTGGATGGCAACTGTCCCTACAGCTCTGTCATCTTCACTGAGCTCTTTTTTAAAAAAAATATTTACTTATTTATCTGACTGCACCCAAGTCTTAGTTGAGGCATGCCACATCTTTCTTAGTTGTGGTATGTCAAATCTAATTCCCCATGGACAGAGGAGACTGGTGGGCTACAGTCCATGAGGTCACAAAGTCAGGCACCACTGAGTGACTTTAAAAATAACACTGAAGTATGTGTAATATGATTTAAGAAATAAATGAAGATTGAAAAATGAAAGAGCAAGTGGACTATCAAGAATGAACAGTATTTAAGAATGAGCAGGTAGATTTCTGTCCCCATTCTTCCTAGTTTCTCTTTCTGAGACTCCAATTAAATATATATTTAATTAATTTAATTTTTATTAATTTATTAAAATTAATATATTAGACACAGATGAAGAGGCAATTAATGAATTCAGAGACAGATGAAGAAACTACCAAAATACAACACAGGGAGACAAAAAGAAAATGAGTTTAGGAAACAGGAAAGAATGTGAAAGAATGTGTTAAATATATATTTAATTGGAGTCTCAGAAAGAGAAACTAGAAAGCATGGGGAGACCCAGCACTAAAGAAATGAGAGATGAGAGGAGAAAGAAAGGAATCAAAATCAGGAAACAAACGGAAAACAAATAATAAAGTGTTAAAGTCGGCTTCTCTGATAGCTCAGTTGGTTAAGAATCTGCCTGCAATTCAGGAGACTCCAGTTCGATTCCTAGGTTGGAAAGATCCACTGGCGAAGGGATAGGCTACCCACTCCAGTATTCCTGGGCTTCCCTTGTGGCTCCGCTGGTAAAGAATCTGCCTGCAATGCAGGAGACCTGGGTTCGATCCCTGGGTTGGGAAGATCCCCAGGAGAAGGGAAAGGCTGGCTACCCACTCCAGTATTCTGGCCTAGAGAATTCCATGGGGTCACAAAGAGTCAGACACGACTGAGCGACTTTCACTTCACAGACTTAAAGTCAACTTACCAATATTTACATTAAAGTAAATGGCCTAAATACACTAATTAAAAGGCAGCAGTTGTAACACTATTAAGAGAATGAAAAGACAAGCTAGAGATTGGAAGAAAATATTTACAAATCACATAGTCAACAAAGGACTTGTATCCAGAACCTATAAAAATTTCTCAAAACTGAACAATAATAAACCATATCAAATTTTAAAATGAGCAAAAAATTTAAAAACAACACAAGAACACACAAAAGAAAAAAAACTGAGCAAAGGAATTTGGGCATTTAAACAAACAAAAGATAAGAACTGCCAATAAACACATGAAAAGTGGTGAACATAATTATATATGAGACATTCAAATTAAAATATCAGTGAGATACTCCATATTTATTAGAATAGATAAAATAAAAATATTAACCATGCCAATTGCTGGAGAGGTTGTGAAGCTACTGCCACTTTCATATATGGTTTCTGAGAATGCAGAAATGGCACAGCCATGGAAAATGGTCTGGCAGTTTTTTGGAATGTTATGCATATGCTTAGCCATATGACCCAGGAATCCAATGCCTAGAGAAGTAACAACTTTTATGGTCACAAAGTTCATGCATGAATGTTTATAGCAGCTCTATGCATAATTGCCAAACCTATAAACAAACAAAATGTTCTTCAGTGAGTGAGTGAATAAAAAAACTGGTAAAGCCAAACAATAGAATATTTAGTATTCATTGCTAAGAAGAAGTGAGCTATTAAGCTATGAAAAGATATGGAGGAACCTTAAATGCATGTTAATAAGTGAAAGAAGCCAGTTTGAAAGAGCTCCATCCTATATGATTCCAACTATATGACATTCTGAAAAAGGCAAAAGTATGAAGATAGTGGGAAGTTCAGTAGTTGGCAGGAGTTTCAGGAGACTATAGGAGAAGACTCAGAATTTTTAGAGCAGTGAAAAGATTCTCTATACGCTATATATGGTGAAGACTCTCTATACCATAATGATGGGTACATGTCTTTATACATTTGTCTAAACCCATAGACTGACAACACTAAGCTTCATCACATGTAAAGTAAACTATGCACTTTGATATGCACTCAACGTAGGTTCATCAAATGTAACACAATGCTACCTGGGGAAACTATGCATGTGCTGGGGCAAGGGGTTTTGGGGGAATATCTGTGCTTTCCACTCAGTTTTGCTGTGAATCCAAAACTGCTCTAAAAAAAAATCTTAACAAAAATTTTCTTTTTAAAAAGGGATGAAGTACTAATATATGCTATCAGATGGGGATCCCCGTGGTGGCTCAGTGGTAAAGAATCCACCTGCCAGTGAAGGAGACTCAGGTTTGATCCTTGGGTTGGGAAGATCCCTTGGAGAAGGAAATGGCAACCCACTCCAGTTTTCTTTCTTGCCTGGGAAATAGCACGGACAGAGGAGCCTGGTGGGTTACAGTCCATGAGATCACAAAAGAGTTGGACATGACGTAGAGACTAAACAACAACAACATAATACAGATGAACCCTGCAAATATTATACTAAGTGAAAGAAATTGATACCAAAAAAAAAAAATCACATATTGTATGAGTCCATTTACATTACATTATATAAAAACAAAACTATAGGGAAGGAGAACAGGTTGCCAGGAATAAGAGCTAGGAAGAGGGTCACTGTAAAGAGATAGAAGGAAGATTTTGGGGTAATGAAACATTTTGTATCCTGACTGTGGGGTGGTTATACAAATCTGTATGTGTTAAAATTAACAATTGCACACCAAGTGAATTTCCTCATATAATAATTTAAAAAAATAGTTTGTACATAATTAATAAAGTCCAGGATTATTGTACTTGCCAAAGGGGGAGACAATGAGTTTCCCGGGGTCCAGTGTTTAGGATTCCATGTTTCCAGTGCAAGGGGCATGGGTTTAATCCCTGGTGGGGCCAAAACAAACAAAACAAAAACAAAGGTGGACAGCAGGACACAAGAGTGAGTGGTAGATGGTGTAGGGATGGGTGTGGGGTAAAAGATGCATTGTTCTTTCTGTACCATTTTCATCAGCAGTTATTCAACCTTTTGGGGGCACAAGGTTGTCTTACACTCAAATTACACTTAAAAATAACATTTTGCAGCAGAATACCTTTAGAGCAAAATAAAGGCTAAATTCAAGAGTGCTTCAAAACACATGGAAATAGCCCATGTATAAATTGAATCAGTTATAGAAAAATTGGTATGTTTAACTGAAAAAAAAAGTTGAAATATTTCTTATATATAGTGTTTTGGGGTGAAAATGCCAATTTGAAAAAATAATTCTAAAAATTGGTAACTTTTTAAAAGCCATTATGGAAACAAAAGAAAAACACCTGAACAATAAATGATTTAAGCCTCTATTTTGAAAATACTGGGCTTCCCTGATAGCTCCGTTGGTAAAGAATCCACCTGCAATGCAGGAAACCCTGGTTCGATTCCTGGATTGGCAAGATTCACTGGAGAAGGGATAGGCTACCCACTCCAGTATTCTTGAGCTTCCCTTGTGGCTCAGCTGGTAAAGAATCTGCCTGCAATGTGGGAGACCTGGGTTCAACCCCTGGGTTAGGAAGACACCCTTGAGAAGGGAAAGGCAACCCACTCCAGTATTCTGGCCTGGAGAATTCTATATAGTCCATGGGTTTGCAGAGTCAGACATGACTGAGCGACTTTCACTTTCACTTTTGAAAATACTGACTCATATATAAAAAAATAAAGACTGTGCCATAATGAAACAGTGAATTTTGGTCATGATTATTAGGTGGAAGCTTGATGGAAACTTTATAAAGGATAAATGAGGCTGATAACAACTGAATCGACAATCTTAACATCACTAAAAGTAGGACAGCAAGATAGTGTCTTCCCAAGTGATGAAAAACAGCACCACTAATGAGAAGGACCATGAGTCTAATCAAGTCTCTAGATCTAACCAGTGGTATGTGCCAAGTAAGGGAGGTTAGAGGCACAGTCAGTCAAATCTAAAAGCCCCAGCCCTCTATGCTAAACGACGAACATCTCAGGTACTGCATCAAATAAAGGGCATTTTAAAAAGAACTTAACCAAATGTGGGCCCTGTTTAGATCCTGATTCAATCAAATCAACTGTAGTAAAATTTAATTTGAGACAACTGGGGAAGTTTGAAAATGCAAAGGATATTAGTTAATATTCAGGAATTATTGTTGTGTTAGGTATGACAATGGTATTGTGATTATATTTATAAAAATTTATGGTAGGAATGCTTTTGTATTGATGAAATGATGATCTCCCTTAGAAATGCCATTGGGGTGGGTAGGAATAAGAATTGGGGTAAAGATTAAGATTAAATTAAGACATCATTTTACTTTGTATGGGTGAAAATTTCTACAGTAAGATTTTTTAAAAACCCTTAGGAAAGCATGGGAAATGAATTTTTAAAGCAGAAGTTAATATATTACAATGTAGAACTCCAGTAAAACCATTAAGTCTGAGAACTGGTTAAGAGACAACAAATAAAAAAATCTGAAATAATTTTCTAGAAATACAAAATTAACAAAATGAGTCAGAGTAAAACATCTAAAAAAGATG